AATGTGTGTGTGCAGGTGTGTGTGTGTGTGTGTGCAGGTGTGCACGATGGAGAGGCACACTTGCCACATTGTACATACGGAGGCCAGAGGACAACTTTCTGCAGCCTTTTTTCCTTCCACCTCTATGTGCATTCCAGGGATCAAACCTGGCCCTGGGCTTGCAGAGCAAGCACCTTTACCCACTGAACCACTTTACAGGTCCTTCTGCTTTGTCCTGATACAAGGTGTGGTGTTTTAACTAAGAATGGCTCTCATAGGCTTAGGAGGCATGGCCTTGTTGGAGGAAATATGTCACTGGCAGTAGGCTTTGAGGCTTCAGAAGCTCAAGCCAGGTCTAGTCTCTTTCTCTGTCTGTCTGTCTCTCTTCCTGCTGCCTGTGGATCCAGATGTATAACTCTCAACTGCTTTTCCAACATCATGTCTTTATCTGTGTGCTGCATGTTCCCCACCATGATGACAATGAACTAAGCCTCTGAAACCTAAGAAAGCCCCCAATTAAATGCTTTCTTTTTACAAGAGTTGCTATGGTTATGGTGTTTCTTCGTAGCAACAGAACAATGACTAAGACAGAAATGTTTGTGGTTTTATAAGGGATAGTTCTATCATGTTAGGCATAATAATAACCTTATTAAATATACAATACATTTTGCGATTGTATGTGGGATAATTATATCATGTTAGGTGTAATTATGACCTGGTTATTATTTTCATTTGGAAATTAAACATGACATAAGGAGATATGATTGTGTCAAGTTGACAAGGAGTAGGTTACTCTTGGTTGTCAACTTGAATACATATGGAATGAACTAAAACCCAAATGGCTAGGCATACCTGTGAAGGATTTTTTTTTTTTCCTTAATTGAATCATTTGAAGTGGAAGACCCGCTTTTAATTTGAATCTTTGAGATGGGAAGATACACCTTAAAGCGGAACCACACCTTCTGCTGGAAGCCTATATAAAAGACATGAAGTGTCTGCTGTTTGCTTGCTCTCACTGGCAAGCCCATTCCTTCACTGGCATTAAAGTCTACTTCTTCAGGAGTCTGGTGTTTACTGACGCCTAGCTGAGACATCCAGCCTTATGGACTGAACAACTACTGGATTTCTGGACCTTCTGCTGATAGGTAGCCATTGCTGGGTTAGCTGGACCACAGCATGTCAGTCATTCTACTAAATCTCCTTTACATATACATTCATTCCATAAGTTCTGTTCCTCTAGAGAACCCTGAGAGCCTAGGCTGTCCTCAAACTCATGAAACTCCTGTGTCCAATGCTAGGATTATAGGCACATGCTACCATACCCAGTTTACCATTCTATTTTTATAATATATTTATATTTTATACCATATATAAATACATATACAAAATATAAATACATATGTATATATATATCATATATATTTGGTGGAAGGATTAACAATATTAGGTCACACTACACTGTTCTAGAAGCTCACTTCTGAAAATGATGATATTTAAATTGAGTCATACTTTCTTAATTCAGTAACTGGGATTGCCTTATTAGATTCAAAATCAGGGCTGGGGATACTGTTTAATGAGTAAAATATTTGCCACATACTTGTGAGGACCTGAGTTTGACACTAAAATCCATGTATAGTGCCTATCTGTAATCTTGGTGCAAAGACAGGAGAATCTCTGGAAGCTTGAGAGCCATCTGGCCTGGCGTATACAATAGACAACAAGGAAGAGATTTTTTCTCAAACAAGGGAGAAGCAAGAACTGACATCAAAAGCTGTTCTCTGGCTGTCACATGCACTGCAGTGAGCATACACCTGCATGTGCACATGCATGCACACACCAACACACACACACACACACACACACACACACACACACACTCTCTCTCTCTCTCTCTCTCTCTCTCTCTCTCTCTCCCTCTCTCTCTCTCTCTCTCAATGAAGGGGTGGGGTATTCTAAACAATGAATCCTTCCTCACGTCTCTAAGTGACTACTTATTTTCCAAGAATCAGTCAGTATGAAGGCATAAATTAAACATACTCAGTATGCTTCAGTCCAATATAGTATGTGGCATTTCAGAAACATTACAAATGTCAATGTGTTTCATGCTTGGCTAGTGGAACCCATTTCAGATTAATACTTATAACAATCACAAGTACACCAATTTGGAAAGTGATAAAAATGTCCTTTACACAGAAAAAGAAAAGCTATGACAACTTATGCTACATAGTGAGACACAATTTCGAAAAGAAACAAAGTAATAGTAGCAAGCCAAACAAACTGGAAAACCATATCCAAGCCAGGCATTGTGTCTCACACCTGTAATTCCAGCAGCTGGAGGATCGGAGTTTGAGCCCAGCCTCCAGTATATAGCTCAAAGTCAGTATGGTCTACACCTATTCCAAAAAACAAATGATGAAAAGAATAGATGATTAAAGGAATCTAATTTGACTAAAATGTCTTGACTAAATAAGATTTCAGATCAGAAATTGAGGGAGCCTATATTTTTTATCAACCAAATCATGATATTCAGGAGTAGTATTTTTTTTGGGGGGGGGGGCTGAGGAATGAATTTAGGGCTCCACACACTGTAGGCAAGTGTTCTATCACTAAGATACATTTTTATCCCTTTAAAAACTTTTGAGACAGGGTCACACTAAGTTTTCCAGGCTGACCTTGAAACCAAGATCCTCTTTTTTTTTTTTTGGTTTTTTCGAGACAGGGTTTCTCTGTGTAGCTTTGGAGCCTATCCTGGCACTCGCTCTGGAGCCCGGCCGGGCCTCGAACTCAGAGATCCCCCTGCCTCTGCCTCCCGAGCGCTGTGATTAAAGGCATGCGCCACCAACGCCCGGCCAAGATCCTCTTATCTTAAACCTCCCCAGTAACTGGACTACAGGTCAATGCTACCAGCCAGGCTCTAAGAAGTAATCTTATAAAATCAGGCCAATTAAACCAGGCGGTGGTGCCTCACGCCTTTAATCACAGCACTAAAGAGGTAGAGGTAAACGGTTCTCTGAGTTCAAGGCCAGCCTAGTCTACTGAGGGAGTTCCAGGACAGGATTCAAACCTACACAGAGAAATCCTGTCTCAAACAAACAAACAAAAATGAGACAAGCATGGTGGCACAACAGCACATGGGAGGCAGAGACAGTCAGATTTCTGTGACTTTAAGACCAGTCTACATAGTGAGTTCCAGGCCATGTTACACAATCTGTCTTAAAATCAAATCAAATCAAATCATAACGGTAGATTAAATAAATAACCCTTTTCATAACACAGAGACATGACAGAGAAAACAAGTTTTTTGAGGGTGGAGGATACCTTTTCTTACAAGTAATGATGCAATTTTTAGATTTATCAAAGTTAGGACAACTTCTCTTTCTAGGTCAAAGTTTCCTTTTATTCTTTTTGTTGTAACAAGATAGCTATTTCAGAATATCCAGAGATGGACTGCCAAAAAGACTATTCTAAGACACTTGGTACCAAGACACTGTATTTTTCTGCTGAAAGTGGAGGTTTTAGGGAATTGTTCCTGAAAACATAGCCAAGCTCTACAAGCCTCGCCAGGTGACTTGTCAGTGGGGAAAGGTGATCTTCCCTGGAGCAAAAGTGGGAAGCCTCACATATGAACAATCATAACTTCATAAAGCTCAGCTGGGACCTAGAAACAAGGGGCTCTGTCTCTACCAAACCAAACATCAAGCAAGCAACTTCTGAGCAGAAATTTTAGACAGGATCCTCATTAATGTTTTATGTTCTCTTTGATATATATGTATATATACAGTTTATCTTCTGAAAAAGGTAATTGTTATGGCCAAGTCTCGAAGACCCAAAGACCACCAAGGAGACAGACTTCACCAAACTGCAAATGCAAGGCTTTAATGTTTAATTCTACTGGTAGGGACTTCATCCAGGCAGCTGCCGCAGCAGCTACCTAAAGGAAGCAAAGTCCCTTGTCTATTGCCAGAATTTAAAGGAAAAAAAAAAAAATCACAGAATTACATCAGTAGCTATGGGTCAGATCCTGATTGGTTGACATTTGGGGAACAATTAGGGGAATTTCCCAGAGTCAGGGCAACTGGTTTGGTATTATTTTTGATTGGTTGGCTATAGATAGGAGCATTGGTGGTTTCTACGGCTTTGTCTGTTACTTACTTGCAGGTAGCCTGTTCTCTTTGGTTTGGTGCTAGGAGGGAGCATTCTGTGGTTTCTATGGCTTTATCTGTCTTCTGGAGGTGATTTGTTGCTAAACACAATATCCAGGTTCTTACTAAGTCTAAGAGGAA